CTGCAGAAGAGAAAACAATAATATTTATTTCTCCAAACATCATATTATACATAAAAAAGTAGCTTAATTTTAGTGCAGTAGACACAATTGACGCATCTAAATTGTATTGGTATTACAAACGTTAGGTTTCTAGTAAGCACCATTTACCAGATTTTTATTTTCATACAGAGTTGTTGTCTTCTCGTAAGCTATAATAACGACAAGGCGTCGTAGAGGGCACCACTATCGCAGTCAATGGCATTTAGAGAGGCGATGCTTGTGCACTAAACGTGGAGTCGACAACCCTCGGTGACCTCTTTATCACAAATGTTAAAAGCTTTGGTATTTCTACTATTCCAAATGCCAGACTTATATACAATAAAGATATATTTTAGTATCAATACAATAAATATTATTTGTAATTAGAATTTGCAAAAAGAAACTTATTTAGACATGTTCTGAATGTTTTTAAGTTTAAATATGTGCATACAATAAGAAATTTTTTATCGATAAACAATATCTTGTTGTATCAACTGTAAACTATAGCTGAATAACACATGTTAAATGAACACCCTTGGCAGTGTTACCAGGTAATTTTTTTGCCTTACCCTAGACTTTGTCTCGGTTTACCCTAGAATAAGCATATTTTTGAAAAAAATACCCTAAACTAATTCCTATAAAAATCACCCACCTTTAGAGAGCTAGTTGACCTCCGGATTAACAACTCGCTTTTTATAGGCGATTAAAATTGTTTACTTGCATTGCAAATTCCAAAGATTATATTTTAATTTAACCCCCCCTTCCCGTTGATGGTAAATGGTAAGGTTTAAGATTATAATCCTCCCCCCCCCCCCCACACATAAAATCACGTTAATTTTTAGTACCTACAAAAAATCTTAATTTTTGACGCCGCTTTTCGGTTCTGTAATCGTTGCGTGTTAAAAATTTCGTGTTTCGATTGAGGTTCAGCTACAATTCAGTTGAAAATATTTAGCGCGATCGGGCTCACTCGTTGATGCCATTTTTCACAACTATAGAGTAAGTAAGAAACTACCTTTCACACCTTGTTCACACAAGCTTTCATAACAAACAACCACAGAGTACATACTCAACAAGCTCCAACCACATTTAGGCTACAGACAACAGACACAATCGAAAAAAAGACAGGTAAAAAAATTAAGAGTCACTAATTACTACATTATTGTTGCATTCAAAAACACCAAACTGAGAGTTTTTATGTCTTTGGCAGTTGATTAAATAGTATGCTATTAAACGTTAAAGCTTTCAAGCTTTTACCTGTTATTACCCTAAAAAATACCCGCGGAAAATAAATTACCCCAAAAATACCCTCGAAACATTCATACCCTGAAAATTACCCTGTAGAATCAATTTTTCTCTAAATCTAGGGTAAATTACCCTAAGTTGGCATCACTGACCCTTGGTTTTACAGGAAACGAATGGACCAAAGACAGTCATTTCGGTTCCTCTTAACTAACATATAAAAACTGAAATTTGAAAAGTTTGAAACTTTGATATCAATACAAATACGAAAAAGTACAAATAAAATATGAGTTTTTTATTGAGTTTTGAAAACTAATTTACTTTTAAACATGAAAGAAAACCGGAAGGGTTGTCATGGAGAAATCAAGAACGTATCGTTGCGACATCTAGTTGGATTTCGGAAACGAATGTTTTTTTTTTAATACTTCTCATTGAGAAAATGAGTGTTGTTTAAGCCTACGATAAACTTTCGGTTTTATTTACTCACTTTGGAATCTGAGCAATCTATGTGATACTGTCTAATATTTATTGTATTGACCCTAAACCAGAATAAGTCGATATTAAACAATATTTCATTGATAAACGGTAGTGACCTACAGTACGACTATAAATAAAACTAATTATTATAAAACGATACTATACATACATCTCAACATACCACCGTCCGTTACACTCAATTGTAAATTTGTAATGTTAAAAGTCCCGTTAACTATTTGGTCTAAGCTTAATAATTAACTTTATGGTCACGTAAACATTAACGGATTTAATAAAAATATAATTACCATTACAGCTAGGTAATTTAACGCTACATAAATTAACTAACTTACACTGAATACTAGACTAATATGGAAAATGAAAAAGTATAAAATATACAATCACCAATTTGGTATGTTGATAGTTGATCTTTGACACTTTTTCAAGTCTGAATAATATACAACGTGTCCCAAAATTCAACGATAAGCGGGCGCCAAGAGGTAGACCTGCTCATGTGTACTTATGGAAAAATAAGAAAAAAATTATATCTTATTAATCTTTTTAATTATAAAATTAAATTCGAAAATCTTCGAAAATTTACACCTTTTATGATATTTTCAACTACCACGACCACAACCTCTCAATTATGTTCAATCTTTTTTTGGTATCGGATACCTAAGTAGCACTACTATTCGCTACAACTCTTAAAAACACCAAAATGCCCGCAGTTTTTACACAAAAAACAATGAAAATGTATTTTTTCCTTAAATTTTCACAGATTTTTACGTTACGTAATCTTTGACTTACGGTCTTGTAAAAAAAAAGTATGGACACCACTGTGGCAAGTTGTTTTTAAAATTGACTGAACTCATCAAGATTCCAAAATGGTTTAATAATCTAAGATAACTAGTCACAGTAAAAAAATATGCACACCATTTGTAAACAAACTACTTCAGTACGCGCCATAGAAGCAGCTACGGGAATCCCAAAAAGTACGGCTCATCGAATTTTAAAACGTCACAGGCTTCACCCATACCACTACAGACGTGTGCAAACATTGCTACCACGGGACTATCCACTACGGATCACATTTTGCCGTATTATGCTTCAAAAGCATCGGGAAGATCCTCAATTCTTGGACAAAGTACTATGGTCGGACGAAACAACATGCAAGAAAGATGGATATTTAAACCTCCACAACCTACACAGCTGGAGCAATGAAAATCCACACCTAATGAGACAGGAAAAATCCCAATATCAGTTTAAGGTTAACCTATGGACGGGCATATTAAATGGAAAAGTGATCGGGCCTTTTGAACTACAAGGAAACTTGGATGGTGACAGTTATTTGAACTTTTTACAAAATGATTTGCCAGATTGCTTGAAGACGTCCCTTTAAGAGATCTACAAAATATGTGGTTTCAAAATGATGGTTGCCCAGCTCACTACGTTCGTCCTGTGAGACAATATTTGGACCAAGAGTATTCCGGGCGTTGGATTGGGTGACTTGGTCCTATCTTATGGCCACCCCGATCACCCGACCTAAACCCCCTGGACTTTTTCTATTGGGGTTGTCTCAAAGACAAAATCTATGAAAAACCCATTACGACATTGGACGAGTTTGGGCAAAAAATTAGTCAGGCTGCGTCACATATCAATGCTAAAAGGTATGCACGAAAAATAAAACGCTCTTTTTTAAGGCGATGTCGTGCATGTATTAATGCCGGTGGAAAACAATTTGAACATTTACTGTAATGTTAATTATTAATAAATGAATGAGATTAAAACTCACTATTGTTTTATTTCAATATTTTTTTTAAATATTAAAACATTTCGGAACAGTACAATTTATTACTCACAACTTTGGTTCTTGATTCTAAATGGTATGATTTTTAGTTTGTTGCTAGTTATCACGAAGTATTATACCATTATGGAATCTTCATGAGCTGCGTCAATTTTAAAAACAACTTGCCGCAGTAGTGTCCATACTTTTTTTCTACATGACTGTGAATCAAAGATTACGGAACGTAAAAATCTGTGAAAATTTGAGGAAAAAAATACATTTTGATTGTTTTTTGCGTAAATACTGTGGGCATTTTGGTGTTTTTAACAGTTGTAGCGAATATTAGTACTACTTAGGTATCCGATACCAAAAAAAGATTGAACATAATTGAGAAGTTGTGGTCGTGGTAGTTGAAAAAATCATAAAAGGTGTAAATTTTCGAAAATTTTCGAATTTTATTTTATAATAAAAAAGATTAATGGGATATAATTTTTTTCTTATTTTTCCATAAGTACACATGAGCAGGTCTACCTCTTGGCGCCCGCTTATCGTTGAATTTTGGGACACTTTGTATACGACAAGTAAAAGATTCTGTATTTTAAATTAAGTAACAAGAAACACGGCGTGAAGATGTAGATAGATAGATAGAAACTCATATCAAAACAAAGTTTCGGATGATTTACAGAAGTTTTTGCATGTCGTTTAAATTTAAAGTTTCGAAATTACACACCATTTTGTTTTTTGGAGCCAACAAACCTTTAAACCTTAGATAAAATGTCTTAAGAACTTATAAATTAAGGTTTCCGCCAGCGGCTTCGCCCTAGTGCTCCTCTATTATACATAAAAACCTTCCTCTTGACTCACCCTGTATATTGATGAAAACTGTATTAAATGTTGTGCAATTTAAATGATCTCAGCGTACAGACAGACAGCGGAGAGCTTTATTTTACACTATGTATAAGTATAGGTATAGATTAAATTAGCAAAGCAGGAAAAGGGTGACGCTATTCTTAAAACTGTAAATGCAATTTAAGCGGGAAACTAATAATTTAATTATTTATGAGTAATATATAAATGCACAAATTATTAATTATCTTTTTCAAATTAGCTTTATTAGCAATCTGTTCTGATTTAATTTCTCAAAATAAAACGATCCTACAAGCGATAATTGTACGCTTTATTTCTTACAATTGATTTTAACTCATGGGTTACCTGTTCAAAGTAGATATTTGATATTATCAAGGTACATGTCGTCAAGCAGAAAAAATATATAGGTCTTAATCGATAAAAAAATATTCTATAACGTAGTGTTGAGTTGTTTACACAGTAAGCGAAATTATAACAATATCGGCTAAACAGTTCCCTTCGGAGTTAATCACGGAAGAACATGTGATAAAATATTTTTATATGTATAAAGAAATGTAAATGCTGGTCATTATGTCACCAATGATCATGTTTTCACAACTTTGTTTGTTGTTGTCAGTGTATCAGAAGACAACAGTGGACGATGGGCGTTGAAGAACGTAGAGCGAGGCTACTTCCTGGGCTCCAGCTCGGACAAGCTGTGCTGCACAGCGAAGGTGCCCGGCGATGCGGAGCTCTGGCACGTGCACCTGGCTGCCAGACCTCAGGTATATATTGCTTAATCGCTAACTTTTCCAGGGTATTGTTACATTCGAAACGTCAGTTATCCTCTATAGTGAAATAACGCCAATTTACTCTTAAAATGTCGCCTTGTAAGCGGTGACTACGGAATATTTCAATAATCATAATGCTTTGCAGATTATAAATTAAAAATAGCTTTTTTTTGCGGAATACGTCATACTCTGTCTTTAACTATCTCATTGTTTTCTCCCATCTATACGGTCAGTCTTAATAGTTCCAGCAGACGAGCACTTAGTTGTTTTATATTGTCTGGAGTCTCGGTGTTGTGGTACATTCGTTATTGCAGATTTTCTTTATATAACTAAAATGTTACAAAATTTGAGATCTGGGGGGCGATTCCGTTAAAATCTAAACTCAACTTCGAATCCACGTTTCCGAATTCAAGTCAATTAAGCGTTTGAATTCTATTGATTCCATTTTTTGTATACAAATACAAAACAAAATTGATTGATAATACGTGTCTCAGATATTCTATTAGTATGTCATTTCGAAAGTCACTTCACTTATGTCATGAAATCTTATTATCAATTTGAGCGGGTGCCGCTTTTGAAGTGAATTCGGGTACGGATTTTACAGAATCGCAGGACTGATGTCCACAGAACATAATGTCTAACCTATACTATAATAAAAATCGCTGTCTGTACATGGATGATAAAAACAATTATGGTGGGCATTTATAAACGCAAAATGAAATCACATTTACAATAGCTGTAGCTGAGGAACATAAATAGAGTGCTTCGTATAAACTCTTCTTTCGTTTTCTTCATTTTTTTATATAAAAAAGTTACATTTGTTATATACCACTAAAAAAATATTATAATAAATAACCAACAACCAATCAGAACCGAGATAAAAAAGGAAACTTCTACTCGATCGAGACCAATCAAAACTAAACAGTCGATCTGTACTCAACAATGTGAAATCTGAGTGAAAGTCTGCAACGCGTCATGACCATCATTATTGTCCGACTTCAGAAAAATACACTTAATATAAATAAAGATAAACCTCAAAATTGATGCATTTAAATGCTGACTCAGCAGTTCCTACTTCCGCACCGTCACCGGCGCACTGCGCTCCGATCGACGAGTGAAATTGCGCTTGCGCATTCCTCGAGCACTATCAAGAATTTCATCTTCTCATATCGGCGTGATAAAATGCATCCGATATGAAATCTGCAATAGAACTGTAATCTTATTGCTCGCATAGTTGAGTTGCAATTGGATAAAACGGACGCAGATAAGCCGGTGTTATAAACAAAACGGCTCACTTGGCAAATTTACCTGCTATGAAAATAGCTGGGCTTAATGCATCCACCGCTGGAGAATTCGCAGTGGAGTAGACTTAAGTGTGAATATTATGGTTCAGATGAAATGTTATATTGTAATTCGGAGACGACGATATATTATAATAACGTGAACATATAAAAAATTTCCTTGAATTTGCATTTTTACTTTAGAGTTTATCATTGATTTATGTATAGATACTGTAGACGAATCAGAACAAGCCCAGACAAATTAACGTCATTTTGGCATTTTAAAAGTTTTGCCTGCGTTGCAAGATATCTAAAGCTAAAATTCACTTATACTATAAGTTGTATGTTTTCCAGTAGCCTTTAACAGTGTTGAATGTGTAGGTGAATCTCCGTTCCATCGGTCGCAAGCGGTTCGCTCACCTGTCCGAGTCGCTGGATGAGATCCACGTGGACGCGAACGTGCCCTGGGGCGAGGACACGCTGTTCACGCTGGAGTTCCGCGCCGACGAGGGCGGCAAGTACGCCCTGCACACATGCAACAACAAGTACCTCAGCGCCGGTGGAAAGGTACAACACCATCACTCGTGTTACTCACTCACTAGATACCAAATTATCTTCAGCGAAATATAGAACCGGTTTCTAAATTAAGAATTTAAAGTTAAGCACGTCTCAAGCCATGCTTAAAGCATCTTAAACGGCACTTAAACAGATTTTCGTTTATGATTTTTAATTTATAATTATTAGTTGATAGCATATTTATAAAAGTAAGACTTCTTGCCATATGAAACCTAAACTGTAGTTAATGAGAAAAATCTGTTGAGATTTTGTACTTTTCTCAATTCATAACCGTCCGATAGTATTTAAAAAAAAAGCTATAAAATATAGTACACCTCAAAAATATAGTACCTAGGTTATCAAATTCCACAGGAAACGAACATAAACTAAGAAGATTGCGTTAGGATATACACACTATGAAATGAAATGAAATCATATTTTATCCAATTGCGCTTATTGCAAGCACTTTTGATTCTATTTATGATTTCGAAAAAACTAAGCAGCTCTTAACGACATTTACAGCTCAAGAATCACCGATAAAAGTAACAAGATTTACACAAGCTGTCGTATTAATCAAAAGTAAAGGTATCATACACCTTATTGTACAGTTGGCAACCACTTGAAGTGGTCCCTCGCACTAAATGTGGTCTTAGCATTTTCACAATCGTAATCATGTTTATGTTACTTACTAAGAGCACAGGGTCCCTATGGATAGAATCGGACGGTATTGAGATGCTTTGAATTTTTTCTGATGCTTATACCACGTGTATTCCATCCAGTCACATGTCTATTGTTCATGATTGACCTACAATCATCGGTTTTTTTTGTGTAAACGCGTTCAAGCGCACTTCCACTTTGTACAAATCCAATCACTATTCATTCAAAACCCATTTAATACGCTCTTAATGTATGATATAGTTTATGTTCGTTGTTTTACAAACAAATAATATACCTAAATCGTACGTTGAGAATGATAGTGACACAATGCAAAAAATGCGATTTTGAGTAATAAGATTAAGAGCCACGCTTCTGCATGAATGGGCCGGCTCGACCGGAGTGACACCACGGCCTCACAGAAAACAGACGTGAAGCAACGCTTGCGTTGTGTTTCGTCGTGTGAGTGAGGGTACCGGAGGCCTAACCCCTCCCTATTCCCTTCCCTCTAGCCCTCAACCCTTCCCTCCCTATTATCATATTTGTCCCTCAAAGGCCGGCAGCGCGCTTGTAGCCCCTCTGGTGTTGCAGGTGTCCATGGGCGACGGTAATCACTTACCATCAGGTGATCCGTCAGCTCGTCTGCCCCCTATCCAATAAAAAAAAAATTGAGCGTTTAAAGTTCAAGAAATTGTAATCAGCCCCTCTAAACAACGTATCGTCACTACGCCACCTAGCAGTTTCTACGAAAGCTACGTTCACAGGGATCTTTGCATTTTAAAGTTTATACTTAATATATAATGTTGCCAAAAGTAAAAAATAGATCGTTTTTGGTTAGTGACATTGTCATTCTCAACGTGCGAAATATTGTTTATTCGTTCATAGAGCAACGTTCCGTCTTGATATCTGTTTACTTACTATAATAAAAGTTAAAGGGTGTTTATTTTCTAATTATATCCTTGGCGTTTAGTTTCGCTGCGTAGTTGCAGTCTTTACTCTACCTATTTCTATTCACGTTTATTGTCATCGAACTATCCTTAGTTTTACCCTTTATCATAATATCCTCAACCGATTCAGATTATTTTTCTTTAGATTTGCTATCTCTAACGCTACTGCTATTTCTTGTATTTTGTACGGACCTACATAGTAGTAGTATTTCTTGTTTTATCCATTCTCTTTACTTCACACTGTACCACACATAAAGACATGGATTTTCCAAGTTTTGACTAATAATTGTGCTGGCTTCTCGAATTTTTATTGTTACAGTAGCATTTATTCCGTATTCGATATATTTTATGATTCACCAATCACTAAAAGCAATTTGTTCCTTAATAATTTTATACGAAACTTCATTATGTTTAAAATTGCCAGTGCAGTATGATACCGCTACTTTTATTGCTGCTAATTTTATATGTAACTTCCTTCAACAATTGACAAAGCAAACTTGGCTCATAAATCGTAGACACACATTTAACAAACAATAGCTCCCACCCATCACATGTGACTCCGTTAATACTCCACTTCGATTCGTATTGAATGTTGAGTGTGTGAAAACATAGAGCTTGTGAACACTTAAACCTGAGAAATCACCGGGTTTATGAGACAAAGCGATTTGCATCACTATTGTAATAGTTCGCCGAGATATATATGTAAATATTGCAGGCGTAATGGACAAACCAGGTAAAAGTTTAGTAAAGGAACTCGGTTATAGCAATTTTAGTGTAATTGTCTTTAAGCCACTGGCACTGTGGTTTCAACTTAAAAATGTAAATTTTACATTGATCGAGGTCTGCCAAAGCGTAATAACTAACTATTGAAACTAGGGTTGTTATAACCAACTTTAAGGGGAAATCCGTAATTAGCTTATTGTTGACCCTGTTTGGATATCTGTTGGTTTTCCAAGATAAATACATAACTCAGATGCCCGAGATAGTATTCGAAACCGTAGGTTCAAATTCAATCCAGGTGACTGCTTTAACAAATTGATCTACCTAGACAGAACTTAGCGATATTGTCATATTTCTCAAGCACTGTTTACTTTCACTAGTGGGTTAAGCATGGATTACTTGATTCCAAATCCCCATTAAATTTAGACATCCTTGACCTTGATCTTGATCCTTGTTGACATCGAGATATATTTCAGTTGTTGGACACGTGCACGGAGGTGTGCCTGTTCAGCGCGGAGTACCACGCGGGCGCGCTGGCGCTGCGCGACGGCTCCGGCGCGTACCTCGCGCCCATCGGCTCCAAGGCCGTGCTCAAGACGCGCTCCACCGCCGTCACCAGGGACGAACTGTTCTCGCTAGAGGACAGTCTGCCGCAGGCGGCCTTCGTTGCGGCCTTGAACGAGAAATATGTCTCCGTCAAACAAGGTACACTCCTCCCACCACACATTAATGTACCCGACCAAAAGGCAAATGTCGCTTGAGTCCCGCCGAGAAAGAGAGAGACTTGAAGTTTAAACCCAATAGTTATTAAAAATAGGTTTCTATATAAATAATCTCTCTATAAAAATTGTTTATCTAACTTAGTCATTTTGTTTATCCCACTTCCGTTCTGTCTCGAAGGAGTTTTTGTTCCAAATGTACACATTTGTACCTTCGTAATCGCGGAACCTTTCCATGAGTCTATTCATTATCCGTTGCGATACAAGAACTTTTAATAAATCTTTGCTATCTTACTTAACATTGTGTCGGCGATGACGCGTGACAGTTTCCGGCGTCCGTCGGCGAGAGTCGATTACAAACTGATTGCAGGGTGCAACCCGGAATACAGAGCAATCAGCCTGCTAATATCAGAGATGCGGCACTGTTTTTATATCCTAATGATGATTGTGTAAAGCTAACATTATATTACCGGTTGTAATGATACATTAGGAACATTATTATTAAAAATTCTAAAGTATAGTGAATGGGAATGTAAAGTAAACAATATGCCGCATTCGCCCTGCAGTGAGATATTGTGAATGTAAAGCTTTCCTCTCATTTCTACTAAAGCTGTTGTCTCATTTCACTTAAGAGTTTATGCAAACTGCAAAATTATGCGTGTGCGCAACACACTTGTTCGGTTCCAAGAACGAGACGGTATTGTGAGTTACGACGGACGTACAGGGTTGTCATCATACCGTGTTAGGGTCTGCGGCTCCAGCGCTCTACTGTCGTTGGTGTTAATTCTGTTACATAAATTACAATATATTTAATTGCAATCCTGTCAAACTGTATAATTATCTAAGATGTCTGAATAACTTTAAGACAAACCCAAATCAAAATTTGACCTGAAAATGGTTTCCTACAGTCCTATAGTGATATAAGAGGTTTGGTTTAAAGTTAGGGTTAGTTACTAGTCCTGGCTAGATACTGACTGGGTTTGGCAGTAACTAGACATAATAGTTCCACAGTTGGAATTGCATTAGACTTCTGTAAGATAACGTATGAACATAGAAAGATTAAATTCATAGACAGCTGTATACAGTTCTATTTTTTAAGCGGGAGATAGATCCGCTGAGAGTTCTTCGTATCTACGGGCTCTGAGCTGCAACCCAATAAGCTTAAAAGTAGATCCGCGCGTGCCCGTTGGGAAGGCGGGCGAACTCTCGAGCATAAAATATGTCTTGTTTAGTTGTTATGGATATGCACAGTCACGTACAACTTGACAGGACGCGGAGAACAAGCTGTTCAAGCTGTGTAGAAAATTTCAAATATTATATGCAGGTCTACTTGAAACAGTGTTTAAGAGCGAATTATGCTATCATCAGTTTATAATATCGTAAGCAATTATTCGTAAAACAAATTTGTGTAATAATAATCTGAAATTATGGAACAGCATTCCTTGTTAGGTATAAAAAAAGAATCGTTTAGTGTAACAAAGATATAATATTAGCCAAGCAAATAGATTGATTATTTCAATAGTCATTCATTATTTTAACTTCCTCTTTATACTTATTTACTAATAGCCACTATCTATACAATATTGTAAATTAAATTAGCTCCACAACATACTTATACACTTCGTTCGTTATAAGTTTCTGTCACGAATCAACATTCACTTACGAACAGATCGCGGGCTGGTCACGACTATGGACGACTGTTTAATTTCTTTTTCCCACAGTATACAATTACTATCGGTGTAAGTTATATTAAAGTGTCGTATAATATAAAAACCACTATCGTATACTAGTTTTGAACCAAATACAGTCATGCACATTTCAAACAGATAGTATTAATAGTCAATTTAAATGTAAATGAAATTTGGTGAACATGATAATTGTTCAATGCAGAAAGAACACAAATTCCTTTGCATAGCAAAAAATTTTGCCGCTTTGGCGGTCTTCTCGAACTTCTTGAATTTGAGACACGTGTGGGCTATAGCTACAAATATTAAATAAATTGTTTCTACGTAGTCTTTAGGGCTAAATATTACCTAATTATAAATAATGTTACTAATGTGTGTAAAAAATATTTTCTTGTGTTGAAAAGTGCGGTGTTTTCATTTTATAAACTACTGTACCGAACCGAAGCAAAGGAACGACCTATGGATATCTAACATCGAGCGTCACACACAACAGTAATCACAAACCTAGAATAAGTTATACGTTAGTTGAATGTGAAGCTTTAAACATACATAAATTACATATACCTATTTATTTCATAACCATAATTGCGCCCGCGCAGCTCAAGCCAACTCCATTTATATTTTCCAGTGGCTTCACCTGACACATGAGATAATATTAATTGGTCGTTTTATGGGAATTTACAATTTTACTGTTTCACGGTTTAGACGCATGTGCTTAATTAAAACTGAATATATCAAATTAAAATAACATCATAAAGCTAAATAACGGGATCGAGTATCATTTGACGTGTGTTAACATTTTCTTATTATTTATTAATGAATGCAACAAGTTTCTTAACTTGAAAGCTAAAAAAAAAAATCTTGTACGTTTAAACACGATAATTCTATCTCAAACTAAGTATTCTGACATTTGTGGATTTTTACTTGTTTATTCGTTAAAAACATTTGCTTAAGTTATTACTTTTACTCAAGTTATTAATTCTACTCGCCTATAGATACGACTGCAATTGTTTTTTAGATCGCGATTTTAAAGTGGATAAAGAAAACGATATCAAATAATTTAGAAAAAAAAGAAAACTTAGAATAATTAAATATAAACTGTCCCAGGACGGACAACCTTATCTCTACTTATATTCGTGCATTCGGGCTCTTCCAACTTCCAAATACATTTATTTACAGAATAAATATTTAGAAAGCAATTTAAATACAAAATATATAATATAAATAATATTATTTATTTATAACAAAATTGTTGCTATGTTAGGAAGTATAGGTACATTTCATTGTATTCAAAGAATTTTTGCAACGTCAACTAACAAGTTAAATTTTTTTTCATATTAATTTTATTTACTCAATAAATTTTTGTTTTAATCATTCGAATTAGAAAAAAATCACTTCCTCTCGATAATTTATACCGATTACGTCTTAAACTATAACATAACTAACAGCTAAAGGAGTGTAAGTTATTATCTGCTATCATAATTCCACTCTCATTTATTTAAATATAAAACGGCTCAAGAGTTGTCCGTGCTCGTGTCGTGTTGGTTACACTGTTAGTGTCTGCGCGTTTGTGGGTGTGCAGTAACATCATGTAGTGATGCGATGATGCGTCTGCGCAGTTATTCATAGCAAAAACCAACGCTATTGTTGATGAGCTATGCTTTCTAACGTTTTCTAGTGTACGGATGGCTGCTCCTCATTTCGTGCGGCCGACACAGACACCAATAATATTTTATTAGAAAATTTACTGACAACCACTCATGTCCATGTTACTATGTAGACCACTAGGAAGAAACAACACCATCCACACTGATATTAAAATGAGCACGGATTTGACTTGTTTGTTTGTCTATACTAATAATTAGTAAAAAAGAAAAGATTTGAACGCTTATTTGTTTGTTTGCATCGAATAATTCCCGAAATTACTAGAACGATTTTAAAAATTCTTTCATCTGCAGGAAACAGTTACAACTGATGTAAACGTTTGTCTTAAAAAAAATATTACATATCCTTTGTATGACCGTAATAGCCGTATTCTTGTATAAGTATATAAACGTAATACGAGTATTAGAATAAGCTGGAGTTTAATAAAAATTAATCCCGAAATGTGCTGTTGAGCGCAAAAATGGATGACAACTGCAACTGGAATTCAACTATATATTTTTATATGTATTTGATGAACCCTGGAAGTTTTTGTAGAGAAAAATCTGGGAAGAAAATATTTAACAAAAATAATACTTGTTTTTCCATTCAAATATAGTTCGCCGGGCGAGCTTCTTTAACGTCGGCAGTTGTTAATAAATACATATGGTAATAAAACTTGATCGATGTTTTCAAGATCTTTTAAATATATGTAGGGGTAATTATTAATTTAGATATTTAATACATACATATCGCACCCTCGGTGCGACACTGTCACTTTTGCAAAAAATACAAAAATTAGTTAAATATGTAATTATTGTCCTAAAGCACCCCTTTACTTGGTGCGATAATGTTACTTTTGTAGTACGCATAGTTTCCGTATGATTCATCTCATCTATATCTTCTAAAGTCATTGTTTTGTGAGGTGTCAGAGTTTAAAACTCTTCTCCTGAAAAACTAAATTTTTGCATAAGTGACAGTGTCGCACCGGGAGTGCGATATGTACATGTGTGATGAAACAAATATACCCCTACGTTTACAAACTTAATCAATCGATATCGCAAAAAAAAGGGCGATTTAACAGAGAGGGAACTCGATTACATGCAAATAACTAGGAAGAATGTTTACAGGTGATTTGTCGCGGTCTCGCAGTTATACGTAAGCTCGACCAATGGTGCGTACTATAATAGGGCGGCGCGCGCGCATCGGAATTAGGGTTGTCAATCTTACTCTAAAATAGAGTATTGTATTTGACAAAAACTTTCTTATACATTATTTCTTTTACTAGTACCAGTCCTGATTATATTATATATTACTACCTATTATCATAACAAAAAACAAAATATACTTATGGAATATAAATATTTAGTAGAATACGTAATATAAAAGTACATTCACGAAATGAGAGAATATGGAGGGAAAAAGGGTTAAGTTTTCTTATTTACACCAGCTAGTGTTACTAATGATTAAATAAGGTCATTATTAGTGAATTACAAAGGTCAGACACACAGTGAGATACAGTTTAATAAAGAAGTATATCCAAAAGAAAAACTATAGCCAAGAGAGTGTTATGTTGTTACAGGTGTAGACGTGACCGCGAACCAGGACGAGATATCGTCACACGAGACGTTCCAGCTGGAGTTCGACTGGGCCACCCGCCGCTGGTACATCCGCACCATGCAGGACCGGTACTGGACCCTCGAGACCGGCGGCGGCATACAGGCCAGCGGCGATAACAAGTCAGTTTTACACTTTCAATATGAATTAATAATAATAGTTAACTACTTAAATGTACTACGTAAATTTTAGCTTCAACTGAATATGTTCACTCCACTCACTCTTCAGTCAATCACTGTACTCACACTCTGGCGATCAATCCACTCGCACTCCAGCGTTCGTTCAACTCACATTTACTATATTAATTAACTCATATTAGATTTCATATCACTCATATTTCAGTGTTGACTGTATTCACACTCCACTTCGTTCTCAACTCAAAATTCAGTTCTTTTACATTCCAATGTATACTCTGTGCGGTCTCTCTACTATTAAGTTATCACACATTTACACATTCCATTCACACTGGAGCACTCTAGTACATACAACGGTTTCACCTAAACTGAATGCTCTGTACGTTAGATCATCTAACGCGCTGTTCGAGCTGGACTGGCAGGGCGACGGCGCGGTCGCGTTCCGCGCCAACAACGGCAAGTACCTGATGACCAAACGCTCCGGGCACCTGTACGCCAACGCTGACACCATCGACGACAACTGCAAATACTATTTCTATCTTATCAACAGGTCAGTCAAATGTTCAACGATTGTTAAACAAATCTGATAGAAATGTAAAATCGGCTCGGTTTCTATCTAAATAATTTAAAAAATATAAAAAACGTTAAAAAAGGGGGTTAGTATAAAAAAAGGGATTCCTTACTTGAAACGGGTGGCACAGTTTCTTCGGTTCTAGGTTCGATTTCGATTCTGGTTAATGTGGAAACCGAATTATTTTATATTGTCTTGAATCTTGGTGCTGAGGGACCTTCGCTGTTTCAGATTTTCATAATAAAAGAACCATTAGCAACTTAGCTTACTAAACAAGGCATATTGACATTTTATAATTTCAGGCCGATATTGGTATTGAAGTGTGAGCAAGGTTTCGTTGGACCGAAGGGAGTGCGGCTCGAGTGCAACAAAGCCAATTATGAGACCATCCAGGTGGTGCGGGGGCCTAAGGGAGCCGTTTACTTCAAAGGTCTGTCGATTATCATACTATTGTTTAATAGTTTTATGAACGATTTCAATGTATGACTTCGAGTTAGGATGTAGAACATATACAGTAAAAAAGCAAATATTTTTTAAACTAAATTTATTTATTTTTGAAATAAATCTTATGTTATAAAGCAAGCGCCTTGTCGTTATATTTTTTAATGTCCTAGAAAGAAGATAATGTGTTGGATAGTTTTTGAAAAGTTCATCCCATTCGGCAAAATTACAGCATAACTACATTGACTTCGACGTGGTCGACATTCGATCAATGAAAGCGCGCTATCCGTTCAATATTGTATAGTTATTTATCTTCATTATATCGGGTTAAATAAAATGCAGATAAAATTCAATATCGAAGCCAATGTAGGTTACGCGGGAGGCATACAGGTACAAATAGGATATTTATAATATAATCAACGTTATGTCATCATCATCATCAACCCTTTTACGTGTCCCCACTGCAGGGGCTCAGGCCTTCCTTATGAATGGTTAAGGAGGATGGGCCATGACCCTCCACGCTGGCCCAATGCGGATTGGAGGGTATTAACAATGCAGCCGGGACCAACGGCTTAACGTGCCTTCCGAAGCATGGAGTAGCTCGAGATAATTTTTTTTTTGTCACCCATCCCGTGACCGACACTTGCGAAAGTTGCTTAACGACAAAGATCGCGGGCCGCGGTGTTTATCCACTACGCCACCGAGCTACTCGTTATGTAATATTTAATAATAATAATAGTAATGTGTGTGCAGGTTACACAACAAAATTATCAAATATTTTTTGACATTTTATCTGAGACGAAAACGCCTTGCATCTCCAATGATGTCACACACTAGTAAATTTGGCTTCATCATGTTGACGATTGTAGTTTGATGAGGTTTGTTTATTTACTTGCGTGGGACGTCAGATAGTAAATTTCCTCGAAATATTTATTTAATGTGCATATTGTGTAAAATAATTCAAACATAATTAATAAAAAATAGCAAGATCTAAGCTACAAGTTAAGTCAATAGACTTGAGATACCTCCCCCTCTGTCATAGCTATCGTTTTGAGTATTATTATTCGAATTTCAACTCATTGTCTTTTTATTGTTAGATTTTTAGAATAACAATTACATAAAGTAACTCAATGCCAGGTATTATTTAAAATACTATCGGTCTGCTAATAAAATACATAGTTTTTAAAAAGTTACGCACCCCTGCATTTCCTAATGACATTGCATTGGTTTTGTTTACATTTGGTATCGCTTCTCGTTGGCCGTACTTTATATAGTAATTCGGTGTTCGTAGGACAAAACGGCAAATACTGGCACGCGGACGGCGAGAGCGTGACGTGCGACTCGGATAGCGCGCAGGGCTTCCACCTGGAGTTGCGTGAGCCCACGCGCCTCGCCATCCGCGCGGCCGCCGAGCGCCAGTACCTCGCCGCCGCCAAGAACGGGAACTTCCGCCTCGCCGGGCCCGACCTCGCGCACGCCACGCACTGGGAGTACTAACCGTTTGATACGCGCACCGCCAACATGCACGCACTATACGCATCGCGGGTCCTCAATATAAACTTCTCCTTTTTGGTTCTTTCTAGTGAATCATTTTCGTTGTATCGCCCCCGTCGTACTTCTGTCTCTTATTTTACAATGATAAAAAAGTTCAATCGGAATAGAATGGATGACGAAGCTGTCCTCCATATACCGATTACGGTCCCGATCGCCTAACGAATCCCATTTCAATGGTAGATGACTGCCTGAGGACGTTCCGATGAACTTGATGACAGAGGTGGTTTTACGTGTTAGTGATTTACTTTATCTCCTGCATTTATACTTCGTTCAGTAGTTCCAAAATAAGCAGATCGTCGAAAGCTCTGATGATAGTATTTTTTTGTAACCCGTGATGGTGAATAGGTGTAAACGCCGCAGATCCCTCTCTGATGAGACTTTGCGTTGCATAATGTACTTAATTCCGAAGAATTTAAGTTATATATTGAAATCAGACTTCTCTGATTCCCGCGTAAACGACCGCCTCGACATGTGAGGAATTTGCGGCATATTTAGTTAGCTCGAGCTAGTAATGATTATGATAAGCTGACGAATACCCGATATTTGAAAACGGGAACAAGAGTCGATCCGAGTGATCGTTTCAAATCTCCCGACTTTGTTATCTTCTATGATAAGCGAATCGTTAAAACGGTCACTTCAGTCGACTCTCGCCTGAAGAGATTCACGCGAAACGCATCATGTTTGAATCTCTTTAGACCATAATACTCTTCCGGTAGTTTACTGTTATCTGAGTCCGCTAGGCATGAAACTTGTATTAATTGTCGATTGAAAATGTTAAATTGGCGGGCGAAAGTTTTTAGTTGACGCCGTTCTGAAAATTTGTCGCCATATTGTGTACAAATCCACAAGATGGCTCCGAACGACCCAAACAGCTGATTCTGGCGGGAATCTGCTGCGAATGGAAAGCAAATAAATAAATAAAAATCGGAATGTAACTCAATGAGCGTGTGCATTGTCGTCATACATTTCAGCAACAAAAAAAATATAGTAATACAATTCAAAAAGGTGTCAACTAAACGCCCCTCGCCCTGCATTTAATGAGGTCAAGTGTGTCGTGCGAATGTGATCATAAGGCAATTATTGCTTTTCTTTAATTATATCAATAATCATAGATTATTTTTGGTAGATACGTCACTATTGCTTGTTTTATATAACATATATATATACATATCTATATTTTTTATGACGATCACTCATAATGCTTGAAATTATTTATTTTAGATTTACGGTATCATAATTTCTTTATAAGTATCGGGGGACATTGAAGTTTTTCGAAAATATTTATTGGATATTGTAGTCTAGTCGATGGATTTTGTATGATTTTACTGTTTACCAACTCTCGTTTCTTGTATTCCGAACATATTTGTAGGTTAGTGAGACGAACATCATGAGACTGAAGTCTACAAATTGCTATCAGCAACTCGATTGTACCGTAATTTAAGTTGAACAGGGACTGACGCAATACGCAAATACCAGACGCGTCGCTCAAGGTAGTAAACATCTCGTCTGGCTTATACCTAGTTAATGATGCTAGTTAAGTTATTGTAAGTAACATCTATAGGATAAGCTCTCCGAGACAGTCGCTTCCATCCATTCCATGTTTTTATACCGGACTATGGAGATTTTGAAAGATATTTTACAATTTTATAACATGGATATTTTTTATGAACCTGGTGCATAACATTATTTTGTATATAAGCGATTTTACCATCGTTTTGAAGCGTTGACTGTGTCGCTATATAAGCGTATCGCATAAGTTTGTGTAGTAATGAACAAATAATTTTTTATTAAGTATTTGTACCGCAATATGCTGATCCTGGAAATTAATATTTGTACGATAATGTATTTGTAAACTATTAATTAATAAATTATAATCATATTGTAAACAGACTGTTTTATTTTATACAAATCAACATCTATGAACTCTGTTTAAAAGTACTTGTTTTTTTTAATACCACTAAAACTATTCGGCATTTAATGGCTTTTTGTCCGTAAAATTATAGTTTCTCGATGTCGTGTTGGTTTGTAATCAATACTAAGACTGGTCTTCTGGCATATGCAAAATTGTTTTTGCCAACATGACGTCATAGCACGGCGTGTCGTGTATCAGGTCACGTGATACATAAAACTATTTTAAATTTATTATGATATTCATGCATAATATTTATTCCAATGTGTAGATTTTGTTGATTTCTGACTTCCGAAATTATCCTATCGCAGGAGACTAAATAAAACAACAAAATATATTCAAAAACTTACATGTTTTAATTAAATAGTTACATTAATCTTTACAGTTTCTCCCTAGCTAGTGACACAAGTTAGCATCGATGCATATTATTGGTCAAAATTAATATTATATTAAAAAATAATTTATCTACATAACTGATAAACAAATTGATAACCATTTGAACCTGCTAGTTAAAAATAATTATAAAGCAAAAAAAAAAAACAATGGCGTCAGTGTTGCCAGCACGAAATATTGTTTTTAAACGTTATATAATCATAAATTAGGTTGCTTGCGAGTCTATGAATGAAAAAATGCGAATTACGGAGTAGTATTCAACTTTATTGTGTTGGCAACACTCGACGAACTGAACGTACATAATTTCCCTTATAACGATCAATACTAAACAAATGAGGATTGTAAAATTATATCAATAACATAAAATATAAAATGGAATATTTTGTACGCAACAAACACACACACACACGTTGTAAAGCGCAGGTTTTCGATTGGACGTGGTGTACATATATAATATTATATATTTTAATGAACTTGCCTTTGTTTAAAAATTTCTCCGACTTAAATGTTTAGTTAAATTTCAAATTCATATTTGCAATCGGCGAAATGTACCGCACTGACACAGAGTCTATCAAAAAATATTTTTTTATAGTCAAAAAGCACTTTATGTTTTCTAAAACTTTTGTTTTTTGTTTGTTTTCTTTGTAGAACAATACATTAAACATCAATAGTGCTATAATGTATATGTAATACATTATTCAGAGCGGGTAGTAAACAAGGAAGAAAACCAAACAATGAGTCGTCACCAAAGGCAAGTCCAAAATTCCTAGCTCTTACTGAAACACTTGGATGTTATCGTTAGTATGTCTGATCAAACTTGGCATTACAAATAATTTTGCCGATTCACAAATCTGTGATATCAGAGGTTAACACCGATCAAAATAGCAATCGATATAATTCAAGTGCATGCTAGCTATACTGGTAAAAATACATAAATAAATCACAATTATGACTTTCCGACTACGAACGTTGACGTTACATTCATCGACATATAATCTATTAAGTATATGTTATAAGTTAGATAGAAGAGAGCCGGTTGCGTTATTTTAGAAAACTTAACGGATCTCAAATCTATCTACATTTCCAAGTCAAAAAATTACGTATGTTCCAGTAAAATGGACAACCAAATAGTTCATGGTATATCGCTCACTGAATACTACAGTGGCACAACTCAAAAACCATATTTCGAGAAACGCTCTCCGAAGTTATGAAAATTTAATATATTTATGATTATGAAAATCGTTTTTTTTAGCATAACAGTTAAATCGTTTGTAATATATTATTACGTTAAGTTTTTTATTTTTTCTTTAAATTTTCTATGGGATGCCACCACAATGTTGTGGCGTTTTCTCGAAATAATGGTTTTTGAGTTGTGCCACTGTAGTATTCAGTGAGCGATATAGGAGACAGATTTTCAGAATACAGCAAATACCACAATTGAATTGGAACATGTGCGATGTATAATGCTATACTATCTTATTACATCACGTTAAAACCATGACAAGTTTTATTACTAACGGCGGTCGGTGTTGCCAGCAGTCCGCAGCCGGATCGAGTGGAGGGCGACGCACATTATCATTATTACAAAACTGTATTATCTAAGGCACGTTTTACAACTTGACATTTTACACAGTAGTCGCTACTTACCGATAGTGTTGGAATTACTTAGTTCTGTAAATTATTGTTGACACAATTCTTGAGATTATTCATTATAAATATCGATTATTATTTTTAAAATATATTTACATTTCAACAACACATGGTAGAAATATTGCTCAAAAAAACAATTCACCAAGTTTGTAAACTACTTCGTTCGATTAGAAGATACAATTAATAAATGTAAAAAGCGAATAATCAAGACTGTATTGAAGTTTTTAATTCAATTTTGTATATTCTTCGTTTATAATTTACCGAACTATGCACTTCCGTAACTACGTTACACAAAATTTACAAATACACAGTTAGCTCCATCTTACCGCTCATAGGAAATAAGACTATGTCCAGTTCCGTGAGATCTCAAACACCATGTTGTATAATAATTAATTTGCTTTTAAAATAGCGAACTGACGACTGAAATGCTTGCATATAAATGGTGTTATAAAAAGTTAAATGAAATATTCCTGCATTTATTTCGATTGAACGGAGCTAACTTTAGGAGACGTATCATAACACTAGTGTTACGGTCTAATATAACTTTCAAATGTGGGACCGTTTCCATAATTTGTTCACATGACACTATGCATTACCTATTTCAGGATTTTTAATCTGATATATTCATTTTATATTACAATAAAAAAATGTGCTAATAAAGCTTCTACTATAAAAGTGTGTTGTTTTGTTTGTCCTATTTATACCATTTTGTTCAAAGGAGTGTCGTCATTTTGTTAAAAACAGCGTCGAATATAGCGCTGTCGCTGCGTTTGTGTTATATTTTTAATGTCAGAATACGTAAGTAACCTACTTTTTACAACGAATAAACCGATAATTATTTCCCTATGAATAAATTAATAACATGAAAATTATGTAAGCTGTCCCATATCTAAAAGTAGATTCTAATCGGCGTTCTAATTTGATACAGAGCGTCACAGCATCATCCAGTCCATGTAAAAATGTTAATTTAGATTACATTTGTATACTGTCCTAATTTTATGTTACATACTATCAATTTGTTAACCTACCACCACGTACTGACAGCAACAAAACAGATAGATTAATTTAATTGGTGTGGGTTAATCGATTTTGTTGCTATCCGTACACTGTCTTATATACTTGCAAGTTCATGATTCCCACTCACCACACAAAAATAGTGTTTTTTTCTAAATATAAATCGATAAATACATAATAAGTAGCCAACTGTTTGGATGTCAGCTAATTTCATATGTAGCGACAGAATAATAAATAAAATAGATATATAAATACAATGACACAATTTAGGTGCTATTAACCTACTCTTGAATGGGGACGCCAGAACTGTTTGTTGTCATCGAGCAAAGTTGTCATTTCGAAGAAATATATATTATGATTTTGTCGCTACCCCATTCATTAGATAATTATAATTTTAGTTTGACACATAATCTTCTAATCGTCATAATAATTTAATTATTAATAATGACTGAATAGTTAGAGTTCGTTTGTTCCATAGATATTTGCACTTTCATAACGTCAATAAATAACGAAATACTCCACAATCTTCTCTTCTGCATTTTTTATGTTTTAATCTATAAATAAAAGTATGAAGTATTACTTATTAGTGAAACAAGAGATGTATAGTGCTATCTCACTCACAAAGTAAGATATACTTTTCACAGCTCGTTATAAGGCCTCTAAAAGTCTATTTATTTAAATTTTTACATCTATTACAATGTAATTAGAGTTTATAATACTGTAACCTCATATTAATCAGTCCGACGTCCCCGGGTAGGTGATATATAACGTGAACTAAACACTCACTGTGAATTTTTTCAACATGTTCTATTTAATGTCGGCTCTTGCGTACGAATAATAGCGCGACCATATGCTCTTAACTGCATACGAATAGAGTTTGATTTAGCGTAATTCACGTGCGCTCGTGAAATGCAACATCTATAGCACAACGAACTCGACAG